TCAAGCAATTCTCACCCTAGCTTTGGCGACCTGAATGCACAGATCTCAGGAAAGGAAAATCAACAATTTAATTCATATAAAAGTGTATATTTGAGAATCAAACAAATATTCCATCAATGCAATAGCTGAATTTGGGTCAAATTGAGGAAGAGGAAAGGCACAATCGCAACCATTGGCCAGGAAATCATTGAACACACTAAAATTTCTCTTTCATGTGAGCTGTGGGGTGGTGGTGGCTACAGGCAAGGGTGGTTTGGTGCGTTCAGGAATTTTTACAAATAATTGATGTGCATTATTGTGGGGGTGTGTTGGTAGCTGTTGTAGGGTTGTATTGTATGGGTTTTATGGTGGAGAAAAAGGAAGAGAGGGAGCCCCTGGCTGGCATCGATGCGTCGTTGGTGGTGGCTACTGGAATCAATGGCAATTGTGGTAACTCCATGATGTAACACCAAAAATATTCACACCAAAAATTTCAAATCTATAACACATATTTACAAAGAAAACCAAAATCATCAAAACCAACCATAAATACAAACAATTAATCACAAAAATCAATTCAAAAAAATATTGTGATTTTGAATCTGTGAAGTGAAGAGAGAAACGGTGTGGGGGAGATGGTAGATCTGGGGTTTTGGCTGTCGTGGCTGGTGAGAACCAACAAGAGAGAGGTGGAGGCGAGTGAGAAGACAAAGAGAGGGGGGAGATACCTGCACTGGACTAGAGTTACCAATGGTGGTGGGTAGCACTAGTAGCTCTTTGGCAGTGGGTTGCGTTGGTTGGAAAGAAAATAGAGAAGTATGAGGGCACAAAAAAAGGACTAATCTGAAAATTTTGTCATGAGAGAAGAGAGGGAGGAGAGAAGAGGTAGTGATTTGGGAAAGTGGGCTCGACAGGCAGCATGACCGTTGAGAGAGATGGTGAAATTCAAATTGGGAGCTTGAGGATGAGAAACAGAGTAACGTTAATAGGGAGGTGATGGGTGTGATAAGATGGTTTTGAGTGAAAAAATGTGTGTAGGATAAAAATTCAAATATTTTTCAGTTTTATTATATATATACATACTAGTTATTGTCTGTGTCTGAAGGCACAGAGTAATAAAAATAATAAATAATAAACATATTTATATTCATATTCAAAATTAAATTACAAAAATATATGAGAGATAAATGAATTTAAGCGTCGATTGTAGTGGGGGTGAAAAGTGATGGGCAGCAATGATAGTGGGAGGAGACGATGATGGTTGTGGTGGGTGGCAATGACCGTGGTGGCGACGGCGATGGTAGTGATAGTGGCGGCAGTGGTGATGGGGTGGTGGGGGTGGTGGCGACAGCGATGACGACGATGGTGGTGGTGGTGGTGGTGATAGTAGTAGGGTGGCAGCAGCGACGATGATGATGGCGATAGCGATGGCAGTGGTGGTGGTGGTGGTGGTAGCAATGGTGACGGCGGTAGCAGCGGTGGCAGCGGTGGTGGCAGTGGTGGTGGTAAAGGTAATGGTGGGACAGTTTCAAATACTATTTTTTTAAGTAATTATGATAAATAATTCTTAGAAGTACTTTTAAAAAATCACTTCAAACACACCCTTAGGGGCCTATTTTCCTATTAAATTTAGGGTATTATATTAGCCGTTAAATTAACTTTAAAGTAAAATTTAAAGCGATTTGAACTGCAAAAAGCAAAAGTCATTTTTGTTTGTCTTCTGAAATTTGAATTGTAAGTTACTTTATTATATCTTTGTGTTCGATTTCGTCTTCGTGATAGTGGGTTTCAGAAAGAGGCACCTCTTCGTCTTCGTGACAATGGTTTTCAGAGGAGGCAGAGAGAGAGCGACAAACAGACAGATAGATGACGGAAAGAGACAAAAAAAAAAAGAGAAAAAGGGGGTTTTATAGTTGCCACAAAAAAAATTCTCATTTTGTTACTAATGAGATTCAAAAGTCGGACCTCATTAATTGATAATGATATGCACGTACGTGTTTTCAAGTTTAGATGTTTTCAAAAACATTATTTTTTGTGTTTATAGTTTTGGACATTAATTTCAAAACAATATAGCTTAAAAAAATGAAAAAACAGTTTAAACGCGTTATTTTTTTTTTAGCAAAAAATGAAAAAAAAACACACACACACACAAACAGTGTTCGTCAATCATGGGCACGGGTATTCTTTACAAAACATTTGGGTTGGGCTCATTTACGTTGTGTTGAATGGACATCTCTAGAATTTACTCAAGGGTGCTTTGGAGACTGGTATTTTTTTGTAGAACTAGATGTACGCATGCTTTGCACGAGAATTATTTTAAATTATAATTTTATTTTAAATTTATTTTTATAATTGTTTAAAATAATCATGTAAATACAGTAGCCTATAAATACTTATGAATCAAACAATATAATAAACTTTCTACAATTCGTACAATTTATACTGAAATATTTTCAAAAAGAATATTAATTTTTTTTCCTTTTTCTATTAACTCTTACAGTTTTGAGTAATTATCTCTCTTATAAAGTTATCTCCTAAGATATAGAAATTTTGACATGAAACTAAAAATTTAGATAAATTATATTTACAATATCATTGTAATAACACAAATACATATTATGATATGCAGATATATACATAACAATTAAATAAAAACACGAATACTTATTGAATTGTAAAAAAACACATAAAGAAAAGGGCTTTAAGTTATTGTGGTCAAACAATCATACACAATTAAAAGAAAGTTAGGTTGTAGAAATGAAATAAGTAAATAAGTTACTTAGGTAAGCAAATTAATTTAATCATTAACATTCATAGTATTAGTCATCACCCAACAAAAATAAAAAAAACAACCCCGCTCTAGTGTTACTAATAAGAGGATGTATTGATACTAAAATTGTAAAATCGAAGAAGATGAAAAATTAGAATTTGATATTATTATTGAAGATACACTATAATGAATAAGGCTCAACTTGTCTTTATTCATAGATTGATTATCAACTAATAAAAATAAGTCTAACTCCTTTTAACAGTTAAAATTGTCTTTTAAAAGGAAGATGAAAAGCTTGGTTAGTATTACTATGAATTTCTAATTAATAAGGTTAGTATTGAATTTATGATTTATTTTAGGAGTAAAGTAGTCCAACATAATTTAATGTTAATCAAGTTTTATTAAAATGAGTTTTACATTAAATATGATTAATATTGTGATTATATTTTCTTATAGGGATAAAATAGTCAATTAAAATTTTTTCTTGATAATGTACTTTTATTAGTAGTATAGATTATTTGAACTTAAATCCACGTAAAATACTTATTTGGGAATAAGTCAATTTTGATCTTCGTTGTCCAAAATACACTCAATAGTTATATTTAATCAAAACCTGTTTGAAAAAAAAATTCTTAAATTGAAAATTGTATTAGTATTAACAACTCCTAACTTGGAAATTATTCTAACATTAAAATTATTTTTTTATTTATTTTTCTATCACATCAATCTACTATATTATTTTTTGTATTGAGCATGTTATAGTTTAATCCTACATATATAAAATAGAAAATTAATTTTAATGTGTGTGTGTGATAGAAAAATAATTTTAATCTTAGTGCAATTCCCAAGTTTAGAGTTGTTTTATTTAAAATGTATACTTAATGACAATAATTTAATAAAAAAAATATTTAATGGAGTATAAGTTTAGCTATTGTATTTAAAGTGAAATAAATTCTAAAAAAAAATACTCACGGCCCAATGTCAGTTTACTCAATCTAGGTGTTGTTTCGTTTTAGGATCAATCCTTGGAGCCATTTCATAGGGGTAGTATGGACAAAGATAATGGGCTCCACGATGTAGATAGCACCACACCTCCAAATATAATCATGATTCAATTCTAGGTTTTGAAACAGTTAAAAAGTTAATGGTCACTGTTGAATTTCGTCGTTTCCTCGTGTAATAATGACTACCCAAAATTGATTAAATTTAGTTTTAGTTTATTCCATTAATTTATAACGATAGATTTAACATACTTCTAACTCAAAAGGAAAAAAAATGTCTTATTGTGGTGAGACTTGACCCAAATTGACCAAATTTTTAAATTGAGATAATGTTGTGTATTACTTTTTTTTTTTTTTTAAGTGGGATTGCCCGGAAATTGAGAAGTCTCGCAAATATCATTCCAAATAGAGTTTAAATTAAAGAGATTCAAGTTATATGTAGATTTTACTGTTTACGTAGGTCGTACTACTTTGTGTACACGGGTTTGAAAGTACGACTTTAAAAGTCACAGGTCTTGGTGTGTACGATCCATAGCAGGAATTCATTCATATTGCGAAACTATGACCTTTTTCCAACTTCTCCCCGAAATAATTGTCTAACTACGGGACAACACAAAAATTAAATATTGAGTCGAACTTTAAATAGATGTTTTGAATTTTAATTTTAATAATTTTTTAAGTCAGATTTTGAGAAATTTTTATTCCTAATAAATATTTTAATTTTGTTATAAATAATCTGTTTTTGATCAAATTAAAAAAAACTTAATTAAAATATTCCTGACCGGAACAATTGTTTGAAAAGAAAAACACTAAAGAAACTCAATGTCAGACCTTTACAGTATTACTTTTTGGCACATTTTACACAAATCGGATCCTGTGAAGTTGGGCTGTCCATTGAGAATCACACTGTTAACGTTTGGCCATCTCAGTGGTATGCCGTCGCTAAGATTGGGCGAATTAATAAAATCTTGACCGTCCGATTCTCATTTAGTGGCCTTAGTTGAGAGGCTCACCGTTAATGATCCTCTCAAGTTGGGCCCAATTTATCCGACCCTCTTGCTTGCCTGTACACCACTGAAATGAGGAAGGAAAAGGTTAGGTTAGGTTAGCTAATAAGCCAAAAGAGAGAAGTTGATTGAGAGTTACTTAAGTGATAAGAAACTTGAAAGGAAGGAAGCAGGTATGGTGAATCTACAAGTATATGCTTCCATAAATATCCCAAAACTCCAGCCCAAGCAAGATATGCAGCCATGGAAGTAGCTACAAGACTTCAAATTTCGCCTGCAAGTGCCACACCTCCTAATTGTGATCCAATTCCATACCATCAACAAGAAGACCAGCTCCATTTCTTGCAAGGCCGGCACTATGGGCTGCAAGGCGAGATCATGGCGTCCGCTGTCATCCTCATTTTTGCGATTTTCCTTCTCCTTCTCATTGTTTTAATCTGTCTCAGGCGAAGGAATCAAGCGAGAGAGATGACTTACAATTACAGTGTTGACCAAGGAAATGAGATAAGGGACTCTCATTGAAAACCGGTCACTAGCTAGAGACTCTCAAAGACGTACATAGAGATAAGGGAACACGACTGTGGTGTCAATAAAAGATCTTCCATACTAAAGTCAGATTCTATAGGGAATTGGGGGTAGAGGGCATCGACTTTCGTGGGCAGCACACTTGGTTTGGTGTCCTCTGTCCCCTCTTTTCACTTTTTTTTTTTTTTTTTTTTGTAGTCACTAGTCAGTCAGTCATTCACAGTCACAGGGTCTCACGAAGTCTCCAACTGATGACCAGTTTTTAACATCAGCAATAATCCTCGACACCCTTGTAGGAATTTGGAATTCCTAAGTAATGAACTGAATTTTAGTTACCCTTTGATGTAATCACACTAGCTTGAGTTTACATGATCCCGAAATCCAACATACAGATAAAGTGCAGTTTTGTGACTTGGAATTTTTAAGTTAGAACTATGCGACCATGTTTTTTTTCTATGAACCAAGGATTGTCTATTAATTATTCTGTATTCATACTCTTTTTTTTTTTAATGTTTCATAATTACTTTCAATTTTAGGTTAAAAGGATCATTCAGGGCTTAGTGCAAAGTTTTCGCTCCTTACATGATAGCCATTGAATGGGAGGAGACACAAGCTACACGGAATTACAAAATATTCAGCATCTTTTTTTGTCATCTGCCAGTCCATGTACACTGTAAACTTCACTCATTTGATTCCTAACTTGCGCTGGATTGCTGTTCGATTTTCTATAAATTTCCAGCATCTCTTGCTCTCTCTCTCTCTCTCTCTCTCTCTCTCTCTCTCTCTCTCTCTCTCTCTCTCACACCCACACACACGAGCCAGATTCGAATGGCAGAGAACAATCTGGTACTTGATTTGAGGTTAGAACTTACGAGGAAGACTTTAGTACGGTATCATTATTTATAATATTTTGAGGTCAAGTTATATATTTTTTAGGTATAAATTATAATCCATAAGTCATGAAATTTATAACTTTTAAATATAAAGTTATTCTGACAAAAAAATAAGTAGACAAAATAATTATGTTTTGAGGTTAAGTTACACTTTTTAAAATTTTGATTAGAGGTTGTGAGACACAAAGTTCAATATATACAATCAAATCAATTGTGTGTGTGGTGTAAAACAATTAATAATAAGAGACAAAAATTTGGTGATTGGGCCTGGATAACCTAACTACTGAAGGCGGCAATAATGGCCGGAGAACTCTATTAATGAGATAGTGCAAGATAGTAAGAGAGAGTGTAAGAGTACGCTCAAGACAAGGTGTGTCAGATCTGCCCTCATGTCTAAGGGGTTTACAATTTATAGACACAGAATCCTAATTGTGGTGGTGACGTAAAGGTCAAACTACTACTTTATCGGGAAAGATAGCTATAATTGAGGATATACACTATTTTGGAGTAATGATTATTCAAATAATTGTTCTCCTCATGTGCGTTGACTCTCTCTGGACTCTTTAACTTTATATTGTATTGAGACCATGAGCTAAGTCTGGTCTATCTTTTGATGATACAGGATTGAGGGCATGAGTGAACTCTTTTATTTGGGTAAACCAAGGTATCTTGCTCCACACGGTGGCTTCTTCAGCTTTCAATTCCATTGCATTTTCGAAGCTTTCTACTTCATTTGGTAGTGCCATTGTTGGAGACCAAATATGCTAGCAAACAAATTTCTCTATTGTGTCTCTCAAACCCCTATTTCTTGATTAGAACTAGGGCAGTGTCATTCTCTTTCTTCCTTCCACAAGCAACAGAGAGAAGATGAGAAAAGGCACGGACTCTTCTTCCCGAGGAAATGAAGATGCTTTGGCAAATGGTGCCTTGGAAAGGGTGAAAAGCTTGGGTTGGGCTGAGATAACCTGGGCGACGCTAGGGGAGACATGAGCTTGGGTGGCGCTAGGGAGAGCGATGCCAAAAGCAAGGTTGGGCAATGTTGAAAAGCTGGGTGACGTTAAGGGAGGAGCAAGTCTAGGCGGCATCATGGGCGACCCCATGGAGGACCTAGGCAAACTGATAATATCTTCGATTTTTGAAAATTCTCTCTTTCATTCAGACTCCACAGGTGATCCCGTGGTTGATAGATTAATGGTAGAGGCTCTCTACATCACTAGGATGACGATTTTTCCTCTTCCTAAGAGGGTGAGATTTGATGTCTCTAGTACTTCCCAGCTAAAGTCTGATGGCCCTATTGTTTCTCAGAAGGTGGGGTTTGATGGTGTCCATTTTTTTTTTCAGCATGTGACCCTTTTGAGTCCTAGAGTTACTTTAGAGATTAAGACTCCTGCGTTGACTTCACTGAGACTAGAACTCTGCATAATTGTCCGGCTTCTAGTAATGGTTTGGCGTCATGCTACAAGACATGAATTTAGCCAAGGAGCGACTTTGGAGATTTGTGACATCCTCGAATATTAGAGAGGTCGGCTCTCGGGGTCCTGAGGGTATCATTGATACTGCAATGGAGGGATTTTATATAGATACTCTTCTTTTTTGTGCAACCTTGTCTTCTATATGTTTTGGTCATACTGACATTCTTACTTTTGGATATTCGCAGATGGTTATGGCTTTTTCATGTCTTTTTTCGAGGAAGCTCAAACTCGATAAGGTATCAAGAGCTTTGGTGAAAGAGAGACAGGTGCACTAGACTGCTGAGGAATAGTTGAGGTTGACTCATGAAAGAGCAGCACCTCTTGAGGTTAAACTTTCAGGAGACTAAGGCTACTTGCGTGAGAGTAGAGACAAAATTAGGCAGAGTTTTTGGTGACTCATTACAGAGTCACTAACCTAGGGACTGAGGTTGTTTGCGTGATAGTAGAGGTAGATTTAGGCCGAGCTTCTGACTACTCATGAGAGAGCCACTAAGTTGAGGATTGAGATTGCTTGCGTGAGAGAAAAGTCAAAGTTAGGCTTGAGGCTGCTTGCGTGAGAGTAAAGGTAGAGTGAGGCAGAGCTTTTGATAACTCGTGAAAAAGCCGCTAAGCTGGGGAGTGAGATTGTTTGAGTGAGAGTAGATGTAGAGTAAGGCCAAGCATTTGGCAACTCGTGAGAAAACTGCTAAACTAGAGACTGAGGCTGCTTATGTGAGAGTAGAGGTAGAGTGAGGCTGAGCTTTTGGTGACTCGTGAGAGAGCTGTTAAGCTCGGAGCTGAGGTTGCTTGCGTTAGAACAGAGGTAGAGTGAGACCGAAGTTTTAGTGACTCGTGAGAGAGCTGCTAAACTGGAGACTGAGGCTACTTGCTTGAGAGTAGAGGTAGAGTGAAGTCAAGCTTTTGACGATTCGTGAGAAAGCTGTTAAGTTGGAGACTGAGACTATTTGTATGAGAGTAGAGGCAGAGTGAGGTCAAGCTTTTGGCGATTTGTGAGAGAGACATAAAGTTGACTATACACGATCAATTCAGTCAAATGTGTTGTTTAAAGTAATTAATAATAAGAGACAAATGTTGGGTGGTTGGGTCTGAATAACCTAACCACTGAAGGCGGTAACGTTGATCGAAGAACTCAATTAATGAGAAAGTACAAGACAGTAAGAGAAAGAGAGAGCAATAGTGCGCTCAAGGTGAGGTATGTGAGATATGCCCTTATGTGTAGATGGTTTACAATTTATAAACATAGAGCCCTACCTTTGACGATGACGCAAAGGTCAAACTATTCATTTATCAGGGAGGATAACTACAATTTGGGATATGCATTATCTTGGAGTAATGACTATCTCGATGATTGTTCTCCTATTTGCGTTGACTTTTATTGAATTCTTGAGTTTTAGATTAGACTGAGGTTATGAGCTAAGCATAACATGCCTTTTGATGATTTGGGTTTGACCCATGGACTAGACCTAAACTTGATCTGGATCTGGGCTCAGCAAGAGATATTCATAATCAATCATAACATTTCATGATTAATCATAAAATTACCTCAAGCAATTATAATTGTACCTTTAAAAGGTATAGTTTGACTCTAAACAATAATAATTTCTATTATGATACAAATTTTTTTTTTTTAAGATATCGTAGAATTATCCTGGGTTAGTAGCATAAAAGAAAGTCGAATCTAGTAGAAGTCTGTAATAAAAATGACGAAGCAATTAATTTTGCGGCAAATTTCACTTTGTAGTCTGAAAGATTTTAAAAAATTTTTATACCTTTAAAGATTAATTTTTTTACATTATATCCTCAATGTATTAAAAATTTTGTAATATGACATTTTTGTTAGTATTCTATTAATTTTTTCGTCAGTATCAGTGAGTAGACTTTTGATGAAAAAAATAATAGAAATTACAATACTTTTGATACATTAAGATAATAATATAAAAAATTTAATCTTTGAAATTATAAAGTAAAAATATTAAAATCTTTTAGGATGCATAGTGCAAAAAGCCCTTAATTTTATGGGAAAAAATGATATTGCCAAATAATTGTTGAAAAAATGAGTATATTGGATAATTTTGTCAAATAACGGTTGAATAAATACTTGAATATTTTTGTAAAATAAAAAAAAAACTATTGGAATTATGAGGAGACAAGGACGAAAGATATTAAATTGTTATGACAAATACATCTTACAGGGCCGGCTCAATAGCACTAAAAAAAAAAGTTTGGGCTTTAGGCTCCAAATTTTTAGGTACATTATTAATCCATAAAAAAATTAAATTCTTTAAATTTTAAACCCTAAAAAAAGGTCTCAACATATTAAGTACAATCAACTTTTTTATTGTAATAATTTGGATTCATGATTCAATTCATAACATTAAAAATTTAAAAATCATAAGTTAAAAAAATAAAAAATATTCAAAAATCAACTCATATTTACCTATACTTTGTGTGTGTGTAAAATTAGTACAAAACATTAAAAAAAAGTTAAAATTAAACTCTCTTTCTGATAAAAAATAAAAATAAAAGTTAAAATATTTTTTTCGGTAACACTAGCACGTCTTTCTTCGGTCTCCCTCTCATATAATAAATTGAAAATAAATTAATTTTTTTAAAAAATTAATATTAAAAATAAAAAAAATATTATTTAATATTTTTGTTTTAGGCCTCCAATTAGCTTAAGCCACCCCTAACATCTTATACACCGAACAGTGATAAGTAAGGGTTGCCACTGCAATCCACCGGTCAACAACACAGATTCAAGCAAATATGAGAAATCGTTCGCTAATATCTGCACCGGGCTAAACAAAATCTGGCAAAAATAGCTGATTTTCCAAATCTCAACAAGCGACTTAGATGCGACCAATGAAAAAATATTCAATGCTCACTAGACCCGCATTCAATAAAAAAAATATCACATCATTTGCTTGTTAAATTCATTTAATTTTATGTGCGTGCAGGATCTTGCACAATATAAACACGATAACAGATCTCTCCCGTGGTGAATTCGAGTCAGTCAATCAAATGGTCAACCTTGCTATTTAGAACAGGCTGAGTTCCGTTAGCGGCCTGGAATGGTAATGGGTGATTTTTGTGGATCAAGTAAGCGGTCTGGTAAGGCTGAGGGAGGTTCCTGGAACAGAGAAAGACAAGTTAAAAGGGCGTCGGAGTGTTTTTCGGCGTATCCCCTCCGACGATCAAATCAGTTTTTGAGAGAAGGGAAGAAGAAAACACTGAGTATAAGTTTGAGAAAAGTTTTTCGTTGCATACCGTCTTGCCTTTTATGAGGAGTATTTATACCTCAAAAACACATGATTGCTGTCAGTGTGGTCAGTAGGTGATCATTAGATATGGGCAACGTGCGCACTGATTCCTATGAGGAATGTCTTCTCTTTTAACTGCTCGGGATCCCGAGCAACCTAGGCCGCGTCATCGGCCTGCCGACTGTTTAATGAGCTCCTCTCGACAGGGATGTAATAAATGCTCAGTCTTAGGGACATTTATTACCTTTCACTTCCGAGCCTTACCGCATTAAATGATGTCTCATCAAGGGAATGATGTAATTAAATGTTTGCTTTTCCAAGTTGTGTGTCAGCAAAGACATCCGGTCTTTTTGTCTCTGATGTGACACAATATGTCACGCGCCCATTCCCTATTGGATGTGTCTTCTGCCTTCTTGTGTCTTCTAACACCAATTATGTAAGACGAGGTCATGATGGTTAACCTAGCCTAGCCTAAGCTAGTGACCTGTACATCAATAGCCTCTACAGGAGCAGAGAATGTCATCCTGGACGGGTATACCTCGGTACCGAGGGGAGTGGTACATGTAGGGACCGATTTACCCATATCCGACCGAGGGATACGTGTCGGTACGTAACGTACTGGGTGTCATTGATCCCTATAAACAGTACCTCGGGGGAACAGGGACTTGTGATCCGACGGGTACGTGTCGTGATTATAGTAACAAGAATTTACTGATGCCGAGGACACGTGTCTTCATCTTGGAGTATTTGGAAATGTCCCATCAACTGCCCCCCAGCCTTCGATCTCCTGACACAGAGGACACGCGTTGTAAGGAGACGAAGGGTTTTGCAACTACCTCAACTACTTCATCATTGCCTTCAGCCGTTTTCCCCTGCTTCGGAGGTCGTGCCCTTCATGCCCAAATGATGGGAATGAGTACTATATAAATGGGCTTCCTCTCTCCCTCTCTCACTTTGCCATTTTGGATTTCTTCAGAGAGCCCTTGCCTGAAACCCCACTGAAGATCCCTTTCCTTTCATTGTCTACTGTCTAATCTTTCACCAGAGTCTCAAGGCTAGCAGACCCATCCTTGCTTCTGAACATTCTGGAGGAAGGAATCGCTTCAAGTTTTTAAGAAAAACTTCCTTTTACGTTTTGGTGAGTCCTTGTATCTTCCCTTACTTCGCCCTCCATCTCTTATCTTCTTCTCGTTTTTATGTTCATTTTGATTTTTCGATAACTAGAGGTGTTTTTGGTTACCACTCAGCGACCAATCTTCGGGAATCCTCCTTGGGGATCTTCGTGGAAAAACTTCCTCCTTCATTTTTTATCACTTTTTGGAGATGTCCCGTCGTCGCCCTGCCCCCGAGAATCCTCAGGCCAGTTCTTCGAGGCCAGAGAAGTATAAAGTAAAGGGGGACGAGCAAATTAATAGGTTTAGGGTCAAGTACAGCATCCCCCCATATGTAGACATAGAGGATTATAACTCGGCTGTGCATTCCCGTACCCTCGGGCCGAGGATGAGATGTCATTTTATACCAAATCCGTCATAGAGGGCGGAATTAGGTTCCCTCTGCCCCCTCTACTCCTCCAGTTCCTCTCACATTTCCACCTCTTCCCCGGGCAGTGTTGTCTTAATGTCTTCAGAATAATTATGGGAGTCTTAGAGCTCAACAAGCGTCTCAGGATAAATGTTGGACTGAACGATATCCTCTTTTGCTACTCCCTCTTGAGAGTCATGCCTCAACAAAACTTCTACCTCAAAGCCAGGGACTCATCCTTGTACCCCTTGTCCGGTACCGAGATGTACCCGTCCAGGATGGCGTTCTTTGCTCCTCAGAGGCTATTGATGTACAGGTCACTAGCCTAGGCTAGGCTAGGTTAGCCATCATGACCTCGTCTTACACAATTGGTGTCAGAAGGCACAAGAAGACAGAAGACACAGCCAATAAGGAATGGGCGCGTGACATATTGTGTCACATTAGAGACAAAAAGACCGGATATCCTTGCTGACACACGACTTGAGAAAGCAAGCATTTAATTACACCATTTCCTTGATAAAACAGAATTTAATGCGGTAAGGCTCAGAAGTGAAAGATAATAAATGTCCCTAAGACTGAGCATTTATTACATCCCTGCCGAGAGGAACTCATTAAACAGTCGGCAGGCCGATGACGTAACCTAGGTTGCTCGGGATCCCGAGCAGTTAAAAGAGAAGACATTCCTCATAGGAATCAGTGCTCACATTGCCCATATCTAATGATCACCTACTAACCACACTGATAGTAATCATGAGTTTTTGATGTATAAATACTCCTCATAAAAGGCAAGATGGTATGCAACGAAAAACCTTTTCTCAAACCTATACTCAGTGTTTTCTTCTTCCCCTCTCTCAAAACCTGACTTGATCGTTAGAGGGGATACGCCGAAAAACACTCTGACGCCCTTCTAACTTGTCTTTCTCTGTTCCAGGAACCTCCCTCAAACTTACCAGACCGCTCACTTGATCCACAAAAGTCACCAATTACCGTTCCAGGCTGCCAACGGAACTCAGCCTGTTCCAAATAGGAAGGTTGACCATTTGATTGACTGACTCGAGTTTACTACGGGAAAGATCTGTTCTCGTGTTTATATTGTGCAAGATTCTGCACGCACATTTTATTTTTTTAAAAAAAATTAATAATTTTATAAGTGATGTCCGTAGCATGCTTCCCCTAATTATTATGAAATATGCTGACCACCCTACCCCTCCCCTTGGCACAAGAAAATATTTAATGTAACAATGGTATCATGTTAGCATTATCAAGTGTTATAATGTAATGTTTGGAGTAGCGGATTTTGGCTGCTCCTCTTCAATTTGATTCCCACTGCTAAATATAATTGTGATGATCGTTTCAGTTCAAAACAAAGAAAATCTACTGACTTGGACATCCTCTTCAGTTACATGATTGATCAAAGCATTAAACGCACTCTAGGTTGGGTAGTCTCATTCTCAAAACTAATCATATAACTTCACCTGATTTGGTATAAGAATTACCGATGCCTACATCGCTATGGCAATCTCATTGTACTGTGTTTTAATTCCGCTAAAGAATGGCGTCTGGCTCCAGTTTTCCGGAAATCTTACGACACATGCAAACAAAAAGAAATTGCATTCTTACTTCTAAAAGTGGCTTTTTTTCCCCTTTTTGCCAGACATTTATATTTAGCCTTAAGAACAACAACAGTTGGGTACCACCCGAATTGATCTTTGTTCTAAGATTCCATTTTCATACACAATGTGTTGAATACACCCAGAGATTAGAAAACAAAATAACCCACCAACAGAGTAGTAAGGGGAACTGTGAGATTGTCATCAATCTCAGTACTCAGTGGATGGGATTCTACCAGTGCTGAGGCAAGAGACACAACCAAGAAACCCAAAACCATTTCCCAACTTTCATCAACGTACCCAAATGAGGAGAAATAGTGCATATACCTGTCACAACACAGTTTATATCAGCCAAAATCTATCAGGCTTTCCACAGATGCTCATAAGAGGTAAAGTGGAAGTTACCCGACAGAAGAAATGAAACCAGCCGCTGCCATCGCAAGACTACCTGCAATGGATTTGTTTCTGTTGTAGGGGAGTTTCTTGCTTCCAAACCGCCTTCCCACAATGTCAGCTAAACCTGATACAGGTAATTTCAATTAGCCATGACTCTTGGCAACAGGGTATTTCTAGTCTGTTGAATATCCCAAGCAAGTCTTTTGTGTTTACTCCATTTGCATCTGAAATGGAAATCGTTGAATTGACAAAAAGTCCTAGCACGATCAAGTGATCAAACTCACACACAAATTGCCTTAATAAACAGTACCATCTCCAGCACAGAGGTTGCAAATTGCTGCAATTGCAATAGGGGAAGTTCTCCAATAGATTACACAGGCCAAAGTGATTGTGGAAGCATAGTATAGAGGTCCCTTGAGAAGCTCCCTGATGCATGGAGTAAGCTGGACAGATTGAGAAGCAATATAATTTTAAATGGATAAATAACTCGAATTTTCTTCCTTTTTTTGTTTTTGTTGGAGGCAGGGGACCTTGCTTTGTTGGTTGTTTTCAAGCTTGGCTTGTAAGCAATAAATCTTATCAACAAATGCTTCACGATTGATGGCTTAATTATTAACAAGCTCTCAATGAGCCGATGGAACCTTAATTGCTCATCAACAGCTTTATTCATTTACACTCCCAACTAGGGTGACACTTTCTGAAGTTGAACAGCAAACCTAGATGTTTTTGGGAACTATCTTATTCCTTCCTTCTATTGCATTATTATGGAAATTAAATGAAATGAACTAAACAGTTGACCAGATAATCAGTGTCACCGCTGGTCATTCAACCGCAATGGGGTTCTCTTTGACTGGGATTATACGTCTGAGGAACAGCCACATGTAAGATATTGAGGGCTTATGACAGATACATGCGGGCTTACTAAATCAATTATTATTCTGTAGTTGTACCTGTAGTCTCCGAATCTGCTCATTGACTTGACAGTGCCCTCATCTTTCCATATTCCTAGTCCCAAAAGAAGCATCTTAACTATATTAATCCCAGGGATAAGAGCGGCTAGAACTGCTGCTTGATGACCAGAACTGTGACATCATTAGTAGCTCAAATATCAGAAGTCATAAGACAGAATGAACAGTTTCATTAATTTGTCGTGTAAAATTACCTGAACAGAGGCCAGCAAAGCATGAAAACTAGTCCAATGCTTATATGAACAAGCTTCCTATTAAGTTTCTGAAAACACAAATATTTATATAATGAGAAATAATTATACATGAGCTAAGGTAAAAGAAATGTTCAAATCACTGGCACTTGAGTACAGTAAGTATATTATAAGGACACAGAAATTTGTCACATTTCCACCAGTTGAAAGAAAGAAAATCCATCCTGAATTCAAGTTGATAGACAACACTGGAAAATTGTAAGACCTTTTGGTGTAGCTCCAATTTGCATGAACTCGCAGGCTCTGTCTTGGGCATGATTTTAAAAGATCAATGGCCAGGCGATGGTTCAATACAGGAAACACAAACAAATAAATGCTGCAGTGAGCAACCATAGAAAAACCACTTGGACTTGGCACCAGCTGTCACACAAAAAACTGATATGCGCTGATGTGCCAACCTACAGATTCTCACCACCTTAGAAATCAAATTCACTAAGACCATGATAGATCAAAAACATGAACACGACTGCCTGTATACAAATAACTTTCACATCCAGTAAAAACCCAAGCATCCATATCAACAAGAACTGATATTACAGCCAGAATCATGAATCAACAAACTGTTTCGGTTTTTTCCTACACATGATATTCTTTGCACAGGCCAACTAGTTGTGGCCATATGTGAAATCAAGAGACAATATACCTAAAATTAGTGATCCTAGCAAACTCAAAACACAACAATTCACCTTGGTATGTTGATATAGATTTCTGTTGTTTCTAGCATGGGAGAGAATTTATGCAGACACACATGGTTTTCTTGTGTTCAATCGAGCAATTTTGCTTTTGGTGCACGACGAATGCTAGGACCCCTTGTGTGGTGTTATCTGTTGTCCTTAACCCTCACCAAGCTGCATAAAGATGCTGCATAACATGGAAACCCTAAACCTTACTAATTCTTGATGCAGGTAGTGATATTTATTAATGTAAATATCGACATTTTCATTGCTCGCATAAAATAGGGACAAAATAATTTGTTATTTGTCATGCTAAAAAAGCAAAAAAAATAAAAAAAACCAATCCTCCAAGTTATCAGATCCAGCATCATTGCCAGAATCAGGTTTACCTTTTTATGCTAGATCAACTGTTTCACTAACCAGAAATTTGTCGCGACATGATGTTTAAAAGTTAACATCTCAGCGAACTAAGAATCAATTTTAGTGCCACGATTTAACATATGACAATGAAACCAATTACACAATACCATACATGGATATCTTCCTCATGTCAAAAAAGGGCAAAAACCCATAATTGACCTATAAACTCAAAGCCATTGCTAGAAACAAGGATTGAAAAAATATTTTACTTTCTTTATTAGCCCAATCAACACTTCCACGTGTTAAACAGAGAGAATATAGCACTTAGAAGCTTATATAGTCGGTAGTTTGACGGCTTAATTTGTGCCCAAGGATCAAAATGTCGTGTCGACACGTCCGAAACGTTTCGGAATTTCAACACTCCGAAACGAAACAGTAGTTGAATCACAAAATTCCAGTGTTTCGGTCGAAACGGTACTGTTTCGGACCGTTTCGGTCGAAACGGTACTGTTTCGGACCATTTCGGTCGAAACAGTACTGTTTCGAACCGTTTCGACAAAACAGTGATATATTCGGTTCATTATGAATAATTACATTTAATACCCCATTATAATTACATTTAATACTCACTATAATTATATTTAATATCCCACTATAATTACATTTAATTCCCACTGCTCTTCTGTCTTTTATAATTTTTTTGTTATAAGAATAAATAATTACACTTAATACCCTACTATAATTATATTTAATACCCATTATAATTATATTTAATACATACTATAATTATATTTAATACCTCACTGCTGTGCAAGTTTTTTGCTTTTTTTTTTTGTTATAAGTATTAACAATTACATTTAATACCCTAATGTAATTATATTTAATACCTACTGTAATTACATTTAATACCCACTGCAATTACATTTAATTTTTAAGTATACATAAGTATCATTAATTTAATTTGATACCCTTCATTATTAGTATTATAATAAAATAGTATTATTAATTGGATTATATTACCGTAATAATATGATTTGGAGTAACTATTGTCATCATATTTATGTCACATATGGAGTTTCTCTAAGTAGCTACCCAGAGCCTACACCGATGTATGAGCCTGCTCGACACTCCACAGGGGAATGGATGTAACCATGTAAGTATGTACTCATTAGCATTTCATGTGTATTATAAGACCTTAATATTATGTAAAATATGTGTTTATTTCATAAAAATTAAGTGTTTGAAACTAATTTAAGTGACTTTCGCCTCAAGTCAAGCCTTTTTTTCCCTTAAATTTAAATTTATTCTTGTATAAACTGATGTTAACCTAATAAATATGTTGAATTAATAAATTATTTAGCATATCTTTATAAATTAATGGATTGCATTTGTGTTTCTATGCGTTTCCATATTTTTTCTGCGTTTCCATTGCGTTTCCGAAATGTTTCCGAAACGTTTCTATTTTTGAGTTGACCGAAACGGTACTTCGAAACGAAATTTTGATCCTTGTTTGTGCCAGAGATAGTTCTATAGTCCTTAGGAGAAAGACATGACCATAGGATTTCATAGAGAACGCCTTTGGGTTCCTTTGAAATACCCACCAAATTCTTTGTATTCATGTTAGGATTTCGCACTGAAGAGGCCTTCACTCCATTGTGACGAGCTGGTCGAGATGTGGTGTCCAGTCACCAACAAGAGATTTTTGCCACCTCAAAACACTAAAATACACTCCTGGTGAGGTCGCCCGAAACCATAAAGACCACTGCCAATCTTTCTCGTGCTAAAAATGACAGTCATCGTCAAATCAAGGGTACATAAACTTCCATTTTATGCCACAACACACACTAACATGCATCTATAGATCTTTGAGGGATCAACAGCCTTCACGTAATTAAGAATCATGTTCTCAAGACACCGCCATCCCTAATTGCAATTGCATGACAAATTAAGACATGGAGACAGCAACCACAAATTGAAATCTTCTATTCATAGTTGAAATGACAAAAACCATCACCACTCTCACATAGATGAAATCATTTTGATGTCCGATAGACTGCTGAAGTGTATGCACCATCCAGCTAACCTTGACACTTTTTTCCTTATAAGGTTTCCTTGAGAAGATTTTGCCATATTCAAGAACTTTTTCCCCTCAAAACACAAAATTAACATATGGTATGACATCATGACTGCAGAAATGAATATCTAACCCAATGTGTCAAGACAAAAGAAAAAAAAAACCATTGTCCATTTCAACAAAATTAGGTATTGTCATAAGTATGATAGTCATAGACTTCAATTTTTTTCATTTCACATTGACACAGAGCCATGGAGTTAGAATGTGTTGTGGCATCAAGCATGAGATAACGGTTGATTATATCACTTAAAATCAAGGATCTTTGGTTGTTAAGATCTCACATCGGCTAAGTATGGATTTACATGTGTGTATATTAACTCTTAGAAGATTTTCCTTAAAAATTGATTTTTGAGAGTGAGTTATACCCCTAGATTCATGTCAACTGGTAAAACTTTCCACCATGCTAAGTCATTGCATCCTGATAGGAGAATGGAGCCACCAAAGAGAAAACTTACCATTAGATCAATGACGATAGAGTGGGACGCCATGAATGTTGGCCACAAAAGCATGACGAAATGTTATAGTCCCACCTCCATTAAATATAATCATAGATACGTATATGAACTCTTGGGCACCCTTCTGTTGCAAACTGGTGTTCAAGAATGAGTTCTATCGAAGCGGTCATATCATCTATCTCCCTACTATAAGGACTTAATTTTAAGCAAATAATATGAGTACTTAAAGAATTATGGTTATTGGATTAGCAATGGGTCTCAACAATGAATGAAATGCACTATCAAGGCAATGCATTATATTTGCAAAGTAGGTGCAACTAGAATTATTAATCTCTAAATGCCATAATTAGTAATACCAAGAAAAGCGAAGGACATTAACATGGTTCCTCCGATGGAATCTCTCCCTCATTTTTGGAATGTCAAAAAAAGCTATCCACATTAAGTTATTTAATCATCGTCAGAATCAAGTTTTGACTGATTCTCTCAGTTTCTTATTTCGTGTAAGCACTCTACGAAAACTTTACCATCATCCAAATGCCAGGAACCAATTATTAAAAATTGCGGATCAACAACAATATTTGCCACCTCAAAAAACCAAACGAGCAGTAGTAATGGAAAAGAAAACACATGGTCTCCAAACCAACCATAAAGATTTCTATCCACACTATTGAACTTGCTATAATGTCCCAAATTTGAGTTTTCTCGAATGATAGAAGACCTAAATCAATATTTAGAGGCATTAGAAATGACAAATGGATGCCTACTCTTCTTTTCTAGTTGTATAGTTATCATACACTCCAGAAAGTGGTCTAGTATTCTTTCAACCACTTCCAGTATAGATGCCTTTCATGCAAATCTAAATATAGTGTAATTTTGCAAAGCACACTTCCCATTTATAAGTGCTTTGCAAGCTCTAGCTTCCAACAATAAGCTGATGTGATCTAAGGATCCTAAGAAAAATGGATTCACTGCAAGGGGAATCATCCTTCAAATTTTATTAACATTCTTCCTGCCAAAAACAATTTATTGGATGATATAAATGAAATAGACCTCCGAACTAGACTCCTTACCAATTATAACTCTTGGTTCAATAAACTTCTAATCTGACCCAATTATTCATAATTTCTATCCACCAACTATTTTAGGATAAAAATTCCAAGCCTGAGAAAAAAATAAAAATCTAAGAAATAACCATACATATAGGTGTGCAGGTGGCAGCCCACACAAATGAGGTTCCTAGCATCTATCTCTCCTAGAAATCCTGAGCCGGAGAGATGGAGTTAGCCTATAATTGCAAGGTTATTGATTTAAATTTGATTTTTTCTTATTATCGGTGAGTGGATGTGATATTGTCTTGGGGCTCTGTGGCTTTGTTTCTTATGCACCATTAATTGGGACTTTTCTAAATTAATTATGAAGTTTATTTTGGATGGTCAAGAGTTCAAGTTAGTAGGTAACGGATCATCAATCAACACTGTTGTTGATCAAGACGAACTTCATAGATTGTTGATCCAAACTGATGGTGTATTCTTGTTACAATTGGTGACTGCAAACTTTTCTATAACTCAACAGGAGGTTTCACCTGAAATCGGCCGTATTCTTGACTATTTTATGGATGTGGTCGAAGACCAAAGGGACCTCCTCTTAAACGTACTCAAGCCCATCGTATTCTACTGATTCCACGTAGTGTTCCAACTAATGCTCGACTGCACTGTTATCCTTATTTTCAAAAAAATGAGATCGAGAAAACTAAAAGAAATGTTAGTTGTTGGCTTGATTTGACCAAGTGTTAGTCCTTATTCATCCCCAGTGCTACTAGTGTGAAACAAAGATGATTCTTGACGTCTATGCGTGGAATATCACTCCCTTTAGCAGTATTACAGTGAATGATCACTTTCTCATTCTAGTTATTGATGTGCTTCTAGATGAGAAGCATGGTGTTGTGATTTTCTCTAAATTGGATCTCCGTTCTGATTATCATCAAATTCGTCTTCATGCACCAGTGCTTTCTAATAACAGCACCAGCCACCATTTGGAGCTTGATGATGATATATTTCGGCCTTATTTGAGGAGGTTTGGCAAATCTGTTCAAGACCATATTGACCATTTGTCATTAGTGTTACAATGCTTGTGTCATAATTAGCTATATGTTAAACAGTCCAAGTGTTCTTTTGCCAAGTCATCCATGGACTATCTTGGCCATATTTTTTGTGGAGAAGGGGTTCTGGTGGATCCCGAGATAATTCACTACATGATTGGAATTGGTGTCATTCTGACGCAGCAAGGGCAACCCTTAGACTTCGTTAGTAAAACTCTTTCCGACAAAAATTTAAATCTCTCGATCTATGATAAAGACATGCTCGCCAGTGTTTACGGCGACCATATTTATTAGGTCGTCACTTCACAATTCTTACAGATCGCAGAAGTTCGAAATTTTTTATGGATCACCGTGTTTTCTCACTTAAGCAACAAAAGTGGGTTACCAAGCTAATAGGCTATAATCAATATATGATTATAAGATTGTGTTTCAAAAGGGAGCAAAAAATTCAGCTGCAGATGCTTTGTCCAGGCAAGCTGAAGAATCCTCCTTACATGCCACTATCTGTCGAGAGGAGTCTGTATGGACATTACAAGACTACTCCATCAGAAAACACAACAGAAATCAGGCCCTAATCGAAACCAAAGCCTATCAAATTAAAAGTCTACCACAACAGAAAATTCTACACGCAATCTGGTTTCATTTTGTTGTCCTTTCTATTATTATTCCCGAAAAGAAAGAGAAAATGATTAAAATTTCCCTCCTTTTTCACATCTGCCTGAATTTCTAGCTAACTTTACCCGTTAAGGAAAAAAATTGCAGAGAGAGAGAGAGAGAGGTGTTTAGAAATATAAGAGACCAACCTGGTCAAAGAGCCCTCTCTTTGCTGTTTCTTCCCACAATCGAAGCAAAGAGAGAGCGATTCCACCTGAAAACGCGGTGGCCCAGATATCGCGGAAGACGGGGTTCTCCGTCAACATTACTGCCGCCGTTGACCGCGATGTCGGTTTACGGCGAAGTCCACCGGATTTTAGTCGCCGGAATCTTACACCGAAATCAAAACGACTACGAACGCCAACGTCGAGAGAAGAGGGAGTAGCAAGAACAACGCCGAAATGTAGGCGGCGTAGATCTGTGAAGGTACGTTGGTTGGTTAACTGGAGTTCAAGACTAGTGGACTTAACTGGAGCGAAGAGGTAGCCTCTTGTCGCCATCACATTGGGTTGGGACAGGAAGGCCACGCCAAACAGGCCCTAAACCTACCGTTAGGGTGCCTGGCCTACCTTATTCGTATAATAAACTATAATATAATTTAAATTTTAAAAGATAAATAAAATATTTTTTATTTTTGACGGTTAAAATTATTTTAATTTTTACTTAAAAATTATCCGACGATTAATATTAACTTTTTAAATTAAATGGAAAAAATAGGCTTCTAAATATTTTTGGAATGATTTTTTAAAAGTGTTTCTACAACTTTTAAGTTTTCATAAGTAATTTAAAAAAAATTAGTGTTTAGAACAGTTCAACCTCCACTCCCACTGCGACTCCCACCACCACCACCTTACCACCATCACCACTACAACCACCATTGTTGTCGTTGTCACCCCACCACCCCATCTACCATAAACCACCACTATTACCATCGTCACCCACCACCAATTGATACTATTATTGTCCACCGGCACCAATCACCGATTGTTACTATCGTTGTCCATCGTCATCACTCACTATTATCGTCATCTCATTCTTATATTTATCATTACCTTCATTATCCCATTATCACTGTCGCGCCACAGCCAAAATTCACAATTACTCACCACCACTTACTACCACAACCTATCACCGCTTGTTTGTAGTTCACCATCGTTGCTAGCCACTTTCACCCGCCCCCACCACACCTTACCACCATCGTCGCCCACCACCGCCACTACTAACCACCATCACTACTAACCACCATTACTATCGCTCACAGCTGCCACTACTACAACGATTGTCGTCGCCCCATCACCTTCTTTTAGCACCATTACCACTGCTTACTCGCATTATAAAACTGGTGTTTAAATTCATTTTCTCTCTCATCTATGTTTGCGGTTTGATTGTAAGTGTAAATACAAATATATTTTTTGTTAAATATTTTTTTTTTATTTTATGCTTTTAAACATGACTAATAACTAGTCCTCTGATAAATGTTAACCTTCTGAGAAGGAGTAAATTATTAGAAATTCTGTTTTATATTAATATCAAAAACTAACAGTTAATCGAGAATCTTTATTAATATTAACATAAGTTTTAATAAAAACAATTTTGTTCTCGTGAATCTATCGGACTAATGCTAAATCTTGTGCAAAACAAATCTAAAATCTCCTAAGGCTGACTGGTTGATCTGATATATTTGATTGATAAATTAATGTAATAATGTACGAATTATGTCAAGAATTTGTAATGAATCCTATAATATACAGTGATTAATATTTTTCTGGGTGCTACTTTTTTCAATTTACCACATGCATAATTTAATTGCATATTTATTGGCTAACCTTTCTTTTTAGAGCAATGCTACATAAGAGTAATGTTATTTGAATTTAAAAATATGACCTAATTTGTTGATTTGATGATATGACTTCATTAGAATAATTGGATGAAGAGCAAGTTCCAATGTTTAATGTTTTTTCACACTCAATCGAAAGGTCATAGTGAATCATAGTTAACAAATAAGATCAAATATTAGGTCCAAATAGCATTAATCTTCTAAAAATTATGACTAATATTTTGCTTCAATTTTTAGGACAAAAGTTGTTGTAACATTTAAAATCATGTACTTTTTCACTAAATCATGTTTCTGGTTATGATTTTCTGCGTTGATGTTTCATTGGTGTCTCATTTTGGTGAGATATAGTAACAAAAACAAACCATGTTACTAAATTCATAGAGAATAATTGTCACATTTTAAAATGTAGAAATATGAATTATAAGGTTATATCGAGTATTTCAATAACCAAGCACTTGATTTTTCTACATCCCAAGCATTTCAGCATATATATGTATATTTAATACATAAGCATTATATACGTAAAAAAATTAGTTTTATCCGGACCCAACTCTTGATGCCGTGCGATTAAATGTGAAAAAACCACGGACTAGAAAAGTATATTAATAATCACAATAAATATAAGTATTCCGATACTCAACTTCGTCCCAAAAATAAAAATAAATGGATAAAAATTAGAGTCGATTTGTTAAAGTGTCAAGAAGGCATAAGTTAATTGGCCTGTACCATCATGACTAGGCTTCCATAACTGGCTTCCAATCTGTTTCTTGAGTCAGGCATCTTCGTTGTGTATGCTCTCCAGTTGCATAAGTGACAGCTTTTCCTCCAACTCCATACATTGGAGCCTCTTTATTACTAATAAGACACCGTTGCTAGGGATAAGCCCAAACTTTCTAAGGTCATATCGATAATCTTGTGAGGACCCCCAAGAATTTACTTGATGATCCAAACAAACAAAGCATATTCAGCAAGCTTATATTTCAGTTAAGGGGCAGGTTCTTTGGTAAGGCCAAGCCAGATCAAGGGTATTTCAGGTAATTCGTGTGACTTCAAAATGGGCTCTTGAATTCACCATACACATTTTAAAATTTAAAACATGGAAGGAAAAAAATATGTATTAGGACAAAAAATTACATGTAAAAGGCGGCGAAACAAACATATTTGGTAAATGTTTTGTGTATTAATTTGTGTATATATATATATATGGCCAGGTCGGCCTTCCAATCTCTCACAAATTAAACACCTTTTTTGGGTTAGTGCATGCTCTAAAAACTCCATTTATTTTTCAGGGGTTTTCTTTCCTTGTTTTTTTTTTATGTCTTTGCTTTCTTTTCTAAAAACGGATTTTTGTTTGGTTGTTTTGCAGGTGATCAGTGTTGAAGAAATGGAGTACATAACCACAGAGATTTCCATGGGAATCCCTTCGTGCCCTCAGAAGCCATCCATTGCTTCCAAGCCATACCCCATGACGTCTCCTTCAACTATTATTAAACTGTCCACTGGTTCAATTGAAGAGAAGAAGAAACTCTACTCCATGAACAATAGTGGGGCCACCAGAGGTGGACCCAAGTCAAATCTGGAACATCTTGAAGTCAAGAGCAGTCCTAGATCAGAGGATGATGAGAAAATCGAGACCCTGATTCAATCTCCACCCTCTGATGACAATCCAAGTGCTGGTGCAAGTGCAACTAAGGGTGGTACCTCTGTCAAACTGGAGGAAGCAATTGAGTTTGAATTGAAACATGGTCGCTACATAGACCCTAACATGGACCCAAAGAAGCTCAGACGGTACTGGATACACATTGCTTGTCTCTTCTTTTCTGTTTTTCTTTTTTGTTCTTTTCTTATGAGCGATAGCATACTGTTTTTTATGAGCTTACAATTTTTTTTGTATTTTTGTTGTAGGACGATATCAAACAGACTTTCTGCCCAGAGATCCAGATTGAGAAAGACTCAATACATTTATGAGTTGGAAAAAAAGGTGAAGGATCTAGAGGTAACAATCAAACACTCTCTCTCTTTCTCTCTCTCAATACAATTTAACACCTAGATATGCAAAATCTATGGATCATTGAACACCATATATTGTGTACCATAAATGCAGGCTCACATATCCCTTGTCTCTCCTCAAATAGTACATTCAAAACACCATGTGAAGATGTTGCGACTTGAGAGGAGTGTCTTGAAACAAAGGTTAGATAGTATCACAGACAAATCCAATCTGCGCCGTGGTAATCATATGGAACTCTCTCTCTCTCTCTCTCTCTCTCTCTCTCTGGCTATATATATATATCACATGAATGTTATTTTTGCAGTGCAAATTGAAGAGAAAAAGGCTGAAGTAGAGAAGCTCAGAGAACTCCAGATGATTCAAAAAGAACAGGAGAAGACGCTTGATTGGAACTTTGTGCTGGGGCAGGATACGAGTTCGAGCTTTCATCAGTTCAACCAGCAGCCAGTGACGGGAATGCACCTAGACCAGGGGGAAGTAGACCAGTACCTCAACTTTGATGAATAATGAATTTCAACGGTCCACCCAAGACCCGGATTTGGACCATTGAATGATTTGTTGGTGTCTATATGGATTGTATTTCCTTATTCCAATTCTTCTTTGTTTGTTGTCTCTAGGGTTTCAAGTGTTGTCTGCTGTAATTCTATCATTCTGTAAGTTGCCCTCTTTGTGTGATATATATATAGGTGCTTTTTTTTTCTTTGTTGCAGAAGAAATAGCTTCATCTAATCTACTGTTTGAATCTATAAATGGGAGAAACATGGAGTTCTCTAAGTGGAACTGCAACATTTCGCGAGTGACGCTAGACTAACTACCACATAAAAATAATCAAAAGATAAAGCTCTGATATGGTAGATTATTTGAATTCTACTTTTACTCTTTTGAAATTCTAATTTTTCTCATTGGGAAAAAAAAATATATATATATATTGTCGAACTTCCAAGATTAATTAATACCGAGATTAATTAATTACGATTTAAATATTTTTCATTGGTGAAAAATTCAATATACAAATGTCAGAAAGCTGTCCAGGACATACTAAAAACGAATATACTCCAGAAAACAAACTATCTGGTCTATAAGATAATGCTCTTATCTAACTCTTATATTGGGGTCATTTATTAGCATATTTGTTAGTAATGGAAAAAGCCATGACATGACACTTAACACCAATAAGATAGAGAGGTGGGGTTGGGATTTAATTTTATCATTGTCTTTTGCAATGATTACGAAAAATAAAGATGAAGAATCTTTAATTTCTGTTGAGTCACATGGATAATACGTGGAATAAAGCTGTCTTTTGGTTAAATATATGTTTTTTTTTAATCTGAGAATGAGAAAAACATTTTAAAAATCGAAAACCAAGGAAGTTTTTTCAGTGAAAAAACAAATTATTCGATGCCTTTTTGCCTTAAAAGTTCTTGAAAGTCCGTGTAAAGTAATTGGTGTATTTTTTGGGGGGTTGGGGGTTGATGAATCAGTTATGTTTAAAGGATTGATTTTTGTGTGTTCGGACCAACGAGTATTAATAAGCCCAATTGTGTTTGAGGCTCACATACATAGGGAATGTTTGGATCCTAGTTGGATAAAAAAAAAAAAAAGGAATGTAGGATCAATATATCTCGTGCTTGGTAAGTGAAAAATATATAAGAAATCTCATTCGAATTTTATCCTACCCCTTTAAAAGTCAATTTTAATCCACCTATTTGGGTTAAATGAAATCCAAAGGTATCTATAAGTATGATTAATTGAACATTCCACATCGGAGGAGACTCTCATGGTCATGCTCAGGAGGAGTCACTACTTGCTGTTCGCCCCTCTCTCCCATTTTACCCAGCAAAAAAGAAAAAAAAAAAAAAGAATCCAAGAGGGGCTTGAGATTTTTTTTTGCCAGAATATGTAATACAATTTACAAATATGCCCACCCCTAAGTCAGGAGATTTCCATATCGTCTATTACTGCCTCAAATAAGTCGTTTTTCTCTTCTCGTCCTCGTTGTAACACACCTTTGCTATTTTATGGTTACTATAAATTTAAAATTATTTATTTCATATTTAAAGGAATTGTTAAAAAAATAGATATGAAAGTGTAAATACTAGAGTTATATCGTTTTAAAGTAAGAATATAGAATATACTAGTTGTTAAATAGTTCAACTAGTAAATCTTTGCACATGAACAAATATTATGACGGTTTGTTTATGCATAAACCATTTATAGAAAGACTTATAATTGTGCTGCTAAAGACATATTATAATATCATCAGAATAATCATAGAATCCGCATTTAAAATCAGAACTATACTAAGACTGCATGATTGCATGTATTTTATTCGTCTCTTTCTTTTGTAATTTGGATAGACCAACATATTTTCGTGTTATGTCTCATAGCATAAACTTGATACCGTTATTCTCTTTCTAGGGGTCTCAAAACGTGTTGTGTCAGGTTTATTTTGGGCTTATGTTGAAAAATTTTGAATCTTAACGTACAAATTTGATTAATCATGTCAAGTTGTTTAAACTTTAACCAGACTTGACCATTAAACAGGTTATCTGAACCCAACCTATTTAACCTGTTTAATATACGAGTCGGGTTAACACACATAATACAACCTATTAACACTTTGATATATGTATTTGTTTAACCTATTTCACAAATCACGTGTTTATCTCCACTACATACACCATTAAATGGTGGAGGCAAACAGGCCAGAAGGGGCCTGGGCTTGGGCCGTCCCTAATTTTTATTTTTTTTTATTTTTTTACTTAATTAAATTTTGTGTATTTTTTTAATATTTTTAATTGTGCCCACCTTAATGACTTTAGATAAATAAAAATTGGGCCCATTGAGATAACAAATATCTTGGTTAATGGACTATAATAAAAATAAATTGGGCTATTGAATTTCTTGGAGTTAACAATAAAAAAAAGAGAAATTTGGAAGTCGATCCTCTTATATGGACTTGTTTGGACTTAAGTTTGTCAAGGAAACTTATTTGTTATAAAGTCTATTTTTTGTCAATTTTACTATATTATCTCTTCCCTTTAGAAGTGAAATAAAACTAAAAAATAAAAATTCCTAAATCTTAGGAATTTAACTAACATTAAAATCTTTTATCTCTCATATCTATCTATATCCATATATAAGTTAAGAATTTGACTAACATTAAAATTTTTTCTCAGTTTTATCTATCTATATATAGGTTATATATATATAGTAACATTAAAAATAAAAAATAGTAACATTCAAATACAAAAAAAAGTTATCATTTGGATACAAAAAATAATACATTTAAATACAAAAAAATAATAATATTTAAACATAAAAAAATTGAAACATTTAATATTAAATTTTTTTAAAAATAACAACAGTAACATGTTCAACAAAAATATTAACATACTTAATAAAAATTGTAACATACTTAACAATAATTATTTCTCTCAAATTCAAAAGCAAAAAATAGTACCATTCAAAAAAAAAAAAATAGCAACATTGAATATTAATATTTAAGAAAATAATAGTAGTAACATGATCAATAAAAACAGTAACATGCTAAAAAATAATAGTACATGAACAGTAACATACTCAATAAAAACAGTAACATGAACAGTAACGTAATAAAAAAAAATAGTAACATGAATTTGAATTTTACTATTCAAATTCATAGTAACTCTTTTTTTGTTTTTGAATGTTACTATGTTTATAATGTTAATATATATATGAGAGAAAATATTAACTTTCTTTCAAGGAAGGATATTTTTGATATAAAAAAAAATGAACTTAAGTCATTACATATAATTTTAAACATGAACTTAATCCCTTATAAGTTTCTTTGCAGAACTTATTTTCAAACAAGTATATCCAGAGGAACTCACTTTCAATTTTCACTAAAAAAAAAAAAAGAGATTGGATAAGAAACCAGCCTGATTCACTCCATTTTCAAGTTCTCCTCAAAAATACTAAAGCAAAAAAAGTGTTAGTAACCAGTTAAGGTAACGTTTTCGTTTGTATGTTTTTTTTAATAAAAAAATAGAACTAATTTTTTTTTTTTTTTGTGATAAAAATTAAAAATATAAAACATGTTTGGTAGTCATTTATATTTAAAAAATTATAAAAACAAAAATAAAAAAATACCAAAAATTCACCACCCAACCCCACTTTAAAAAAAAAAAAAACAAAAAATTTTATTTATGACCAAAGCCAGTAATTACAAGAAGCTAATTAAACATAAGCAAAAGCTCCAACAAAGCCAAACAATTTAAAACAAAATTCCAGAAGGCAAAACTCCATTCCAGCTCACAGACCAATTGGCAGTAGCTCCAGCAAAGCCGAATCAACACAAGCAACTTCCAGATCAGAGTAAAACTAAACATAAGCACAAGTTAGAAAGCATCTAACATCAAAAGGTACGTTCAACTCAACAGAAAAATCAGTAGTTCTCCTGGACAGCACAACATGACTGGCCAATCTATCAGCAACACAGTTAGTTTCTCTAAAAATATGAGAAACTTGAAACTTTCCATGGCTCAATAACTCCTTAATTTGATCCAAAAAACCCAAAAGAGGCCAGACACACTCACAAACACCCAAAATAGAATTAACCAGAACTAGAGAGTCACATTTCACCATGATGTTATAAGACAACAACCCATATCTTTGCACCAGCTTCAATCCATCCAGTAAGGCTTTGAATTCAGCAACCATGTTAGAGCATTCTCATAAAAGAAAGAAGCTGCCAATAACAACCTTTCCCATTCATTTCTAACCACCACACCTCCTCTTGCCAGACCTGGATTACATTTGGAAGCCCCATCAGAGTTTAATTCAACATACCAGCTGGAGGCAAATACCATTTGACCCAACCACCACGGAAACCCACCCCCACCACTAAAACCCACCACCATAACCACCAAAATCCCCCCTATCACCACCGAAATCCCACCACTGAAACCCAACCCCAATCCAACCACCGAAACCCACCTCGCACCACCACCGAAAATATACATAGAATTAGGACTATATATGCATATATATAGATAGATCTATGTATATAACAAACACAAACAGTTCAATAAAAAAAAAAATTCTATAGAGGGGTTAGAGAGAGAATGAAATTGATGGAGATGGAGATGAAGATGAAAAGAGTAGAAAATCTGACAAATTAGTGCTTCCACTTCCTTCGCCGGAGCTTCCTTCACCTGGAGCTTCCTTCCTACGCTGGCTTCACAAGAGAGAGACGAATGAGAGAAGCAAAAACGGGTAAAAAAAGTCGTTTTATCCTTGGAACAAAAAGAATAGCTTTTGTGTTGTTAATGGGGTTCGAAGACAAACCTCGTTAATTAATTGAGGATGAGAGACGCGTGTATTTACATTTTTTTCCTGTTTTTGAAAGGACCTAAATAGGTTTTTTCAAAAACAGGAGTTGTTTACAAAATAGATTGGCAAAAAAAATAAAATAAAAACACTTTCCAAACATGTATTTTTTGTTAAAAAAAAAAAAGAAAAACGGAAACAGCTGGTTACCAAACCCAGCATAAGTGTCCAGTTCAACCAAAAAAAAAAATTAGTTAAGTGTGAGGAGCCGCAACATTCAAATTTTGGTACTAATATTACTGGTCGTAACTTTAACATTGATATTTTGGTCATATCTCTTATATAAGTAACCTTATTTTTTGTAAAGGATTATATTTAACCTCTTTTTAGTTATTTTTTTTTATTTGCATACATATTGTATACTTTGTATAATCAATCTTTAAGTATTAAATATGATGTAAAAAACAAAAATGTATCACATTAAAATTCTATTGGGATCTAATTTACTAACCTAATTCACTATGACATTTGAAAAGAGTGTGGATTCCATCAAACATTGGAACTTAGTATTGATTCAATGGTTCTAATGAAGTCACGTGATTAGATCGACAAAATATGTCAAAATTTTAGGTCCAAATAACATTAGTGTTTTTACCTGTTAAAGGGCAAAATAAAACTTATAGTTGGAGTGTGCTACCCTAGAATATATTTTTGACTCCGCCATTGACAACAGTCAATATTCATCCAAACTCCAAATTTTCAAATATTAGGCAAACTATATGTAACGCTCCAATTTTCATTAAAGCTTGATTTAATAAAATAAATATTTACCCCAAATTCTCTTGCCGGTTTACAATAATAATTGAATGAAATGAAACATTGGATTTTTTTTTATCGAAACATATTCTTTTTTTTTTTTTTTCAAAAATTTCGACAGAGTTTTCTTTAAAAATTGAGCTTCCAACTAGTTAGTAAAAGCATCCCTGTGAGAGCATAACATGATTTAAACTAACTAAACATCCATAACATGCTTCCATCAAAAATATAATTCAACTAAATCTGGGGGTGGCAATTAGAAGCCCACGAAATCCTCTCAAATCCGGATACATTCAACACCAATATATACCACAACTTAGTACTCAAAATTATAACTTTTACATTACAATACCCAAAATAATAATTCTTTTATGGGATGATCAAGTGTACACCATAAATGCCTCAAGACAACTTTTTCAAATGCAATGCTTGAGTGCTAACATTTCTACATAAGTTCTAAAGGTAAATACTAAAAAACTCCAAAAGAGATTCTTTCTAGTCCAAGCTCCCACAAACATTCCATCACTTATGTCCCAAGATGCATGCTAGTCTATGAAAATATTAGTAAGGGATGAGCAACCACACGCTCAGTAGAATAATCCCTTTCCCAAGCATTTACAAAGTTTTAAAAATCAACATTCCACAAATCATACGAATAAGTAATGAAAGATTTTTATAATTAAATACAGGTACAAGATAATAAGTAAAGAATTTATAAAAATCTCCCAACACCTCAACATTAGAAATATACAAGGTATAAATTAAAACTCAACCATTATAGCAAATACAATGCATGCCTCGCATATGATCAATGTAGTTAATCACACTGGTTCACGCATGAACCATCATCGGAGAGCCTTTTGGGTCTTGCACCCTAAGGTCTTATCGCCTTTCTTGCTTTTTAAGGAGAATGTGTAGGATACAACTTGTGACGCCATATAGGCCATCACCGAAAACTACTACCATAACCAATCCTCCTTAGGACCAGTAGCCGCCTTGGCAACCCACTCCATAGGCCCAACCGTCTTAACCCTCTGCCTGTCAGAATCGAGCATACATTTTCTAAAACTCATTATTTTTTATATCCATAATTCTTTTTGAAAATCCATGTCATAACCTTGATATTTTATCAAACATGTAGATACTCAAATCTCAAAATTTGTATTTTCAAAGCAACACAACCAATTCCAAGAGAATAAATCATATATATTATATACAAAATCGTAACATACTTCAAAAACCCCAAATCATAAGTTTAATCAAATACTCATAACTAAAATCAAACTAGGGTTTCAAACTCATAACACAAAAATCATTTTTATGCATGTAAGTTTACAATCCATGACATATTTAACACTAAATCAAAGTTTATAACAAGTAATTTTACCATCCAACACATAGTAAGCTTTAACTAAAGAAAATAAATGAGATGTACATTGTAAATGCAAGAGAGAGAAAAATCCCACCAAGAAATCAAAATTCTAAGCTTACTCTCCAAGATTCTCAAACTAAGCGCAAGCCTAGAGCCCTTCTTCTATCTTTTTTTTTCTCTCTCTCTCTCTCAAGTTCTAAGATGGGTGCAGGAGTTTTGGGTGAGAGATGTGAGAAAAAAAAATGGAAGAAAAGGGGCTGAAATCTGGATTTTAAATCCATTAGTCCCAAATTCTACTGTTCATGGGTTGAAAAATATATTTTTTTCTCTAAAATTACAGTTTTGCCACTAAACATTTCAATTTTGATCCATATGACAACTCTAAGGTTTTTCGACGTTACGGATTCATTTTTAATGTTATTTTAATCTAAAAAAAATTTAGTTTTATGATTTATCTCAAAACTAAAGTTAATTTATACCCAAAAATACTAAAATTACTATTTTATCCCTCTGAACCGCTATATAAGCTAAGCATCAATTTTAAGTTTTTCAGACCTCCCGGATTCAATGAGAATATTATTTTGACCTAAAAACATTAATATATTTACTCAGTTACCTTTATCAATCTTAAACACCTCCAAAAATTAAATTTGACATAAAAGTCAATACATTCGTACTTCAAGCTTACCCAACTATTCTTTTAACAAAGATTCAAAGTTTCTCTCTCATCATTTTAATTATTTTAAAAATATTATCAAGTTAATATCATTTATATTTATATGAAATACGAGATCTCACACTATATTTGTTATAATAAAACAAATGAAAAATTATGAGCAAGTACCTTTTAAACTACTTAATTGTGAGAAAATATATTGGCTAAAATATTTTATAGATTAGTACATTAGGCTTGAAATGAATTGTAGTTAGGTACTCATTGACAGATTTTTAAATATTTTTTTCATTAAAATACCATTTTCCTTATTTGAAGGCATATTAGTTTGGCAGTCCTATTTTTTTTTATAGGATTTGATTTATTATATTAATGGTTTTATATTTTAAGTGATTGAGCATATTTGAAATTTAAAATTATACAACATGAAATATAACTTAAAGACTTGGCCCATATTTTGAAATTTTTTTTTATATATTATTTTTTAATGTTGAACAGTTTTGGTTGTTCTCAAATCTAATAACAATATCACTTTGCAATTTTACACTATGATGTAACACAACCATTTATTAAAAATAATATATGTGAATGTCACATTTGTGATATAATATTATGTGATGCATACTATTTAGATTGTGTATGAATCATTGAATGTAATTTCACAACTTTTTTGTCAGTAATTAAATTGTTAATGAAGATGTTATACCGTCATGTATCACTGTAACGTTATATTATCGGCAATTTAAATCAAAACAAAAGAAAGATTGGTCTTCAATGGCGCTTTAACGTTTGTGTTTTTTTTTTTAGTTGAAAATTGAAGGACTTTGTAATTTTTTTTTTAAATTTGAGGGATATAGCAGTTGCCGAATTTAATGGGATTGTTGCATAATTTATGACAGTTTACTTATCCACTCTTTGTGCCAGGTAATTGTTACCTTATGAACATTTCTTTCATAAAAAAAGTACTTTTATATAAAATATTTTGTGCTGAGCACTTTTCCACGATTAAGAGGTAAATTAATTACTGTCTCACAAAAAAACCTAAAACAAAAGCAATAGCAAATAAATAGTACCGACTCACAAAAAACCCTAAAACAAAATGTTGTAGCAAATAAGTAACAGTAGCGAATAAACAACAACAGGAAGTAGCAAACACAAGCAGTAACAACTAGCAAGTCAGTTTTGATCATATGATTTAATATATCACATGAAAACTAAAACAAAATAAGAAGCTGCAGCTCCTTCAGCAAGGCATGGTGCATTGATGGTAACACCAAACTTTGACACTTCACAGATTCTAATCAAAAGAAGAAATACTTTAATCAGAAAAGACAAATAAGACAATCTAGAAAAGCAAACAAGACTAAGGTAAACCATTAGGTTCAACATTAAAATTGACAATTTACCTTCAATCAACAATCAACATTGGTCAGGGTAGAACCATCTTGGACAACATTGATGTTCATCATATCTTCTGTAATGTCCAAATCATTTAGTGCATGATCTAAATGAAACAAATATATATGCATGAGAATTAAGATTTCACTATTTAAAACAAGAATTATAAAGCAACCACACAACTTATGTTTACCTCTTTCTTCAAACAACTAATTTTTTGTGCATATTAAAGCCTCAACAATTTTTGGCTTCAAAGCTACGATACTAATCAGAAATCTTACCACCGGTGCTAAATGTCGATTATGAGG